TGTTCCTCGCCGCCGACAGCCCCCGTCCCGACAAAACCATGGCTCCTGGCCGATTTTCCCTCCTTTCTTACTCAAGGCGGTGTTCCTCCTCGCCGCCGAAAGCCGCCGTCCCAACAAAACCAGCGTTCCCGCTCGAGACTTCGTTTTGTTTTACGCTGGACTAGCGCCCTACTCTCTTCAGGGCCCTGCTCCCAATAACAACAGCAGCCTTGCTCGAGATTTCATCCCTTTCTATTCAGGGCCAGGTTCTTGCCTCACCGCCGACGGCCCCCATCCCCACCAAGGCAATCCTGTCGTTCGATACTTCCTTGTGCTTTACCCCTCGCTGGGGTTCCACTGGCGGTCTCGCATCGGCGCAGCAAGGCGCGAGCATGTGTTTTCGAGGCGGGATTTTTTGAAATTCCTCGGAGGAGGTGTTTGCAAGACCTCCTTGGGCGTGATATCTGGGAATGGGAATAACGGGCCCCGCTATAGAACAAGAGTCACCCATTACGTGGATGGTTATCATGATGGTCGCATGCTTCGTGTGGAAACATCGCACATAAGGGTAAACTGATTGTTGTTGTTGTGGACCGCTCATTCCTGAAGATTGATTATTGTCGATCCCCCCCGCCCAGTGCACAGTATATTTTTTGATTGAAGTGCCCCTCCCAGGGCTCGCATCCGGTTTTTCATCGCAGACAGTCCTGAGGCTCAAGCTGTGTTGTTGGCCCACGGGTTACAACAACAACAACAACAACAATCATTTAAGACTGGGGACACTCCGTTCTCACCAGTGCCAGGGTTTTCATAGGAGGCGGGCAATACCCCCACTTTGTGGGGGGGCCGGTTCAAGCTCTACCAAGTTTCCAAACGACTCTTCGCCACCACCCACACCCAGCTTCCCGCCCTATGACGTTCGGACACTTCACTTCGTGGCCTGCGGACGACCTTGGCTACTACACTGGCGCATGGTTACAATGACTTCTTGTGGTAACATCTTGTGGAAACTAGCTTAGTATACGACTTATACCCCTGTTCCAACAATGGGCACGTGTACCGTTTTCCGACGTTTTAACGTTTCTGTACCACACAAGCCAAGACCCTTATTTTGACTGGTATCACGTGCGTGGCGCCAGCATACCACAGGACTTGTTTCCGTTGTTGTGAGACGATATATGCTCATTCTTGTTCTGTGGTTCTCGTTCCGGCCTCAATGTGCAATACTGGCTCACGGCGGGCTCTTGGGGCCTCTTGAAGGCCTCCTGGGGCAACCTATGGCGCAACCAGTAGGGGGACGTTTTATTCTCGGCGGCCGAGGGCGCAACCTATGGCGCAACCAATAGGGGGGCGTTTTATTCTCGGCGGCCGAGGGCGCAACCTATGGCGCAACCGCAAGGGATTATGGCCCCTGGCAGGCGCGCGAACCCCGTTGCAAGAGCGTGCGAAAGTAGCTCGCGCGAGCTCATGTAACATAAATGTTGGAAAACCATTGGTTTTTTTTAGGATTCGGACAGCGCGCGCGGGTAGAAATTTTGAAAAGTCGTGCAGGTGTTTTTCGAGGACCTACGGTGCGATTCGTGTGATTTTATGATGCGCGGTGCTAAAATTCTTAAGAAGCCCAATGGTTTTTGGAGATTTCGGCGTGCGCGCGCGAAGAAAAAACGAATGTGTCCCGCATGGTATTATTTGACAGGGATGATGGCCCTGGCAGGTGCGCAACCGTTGTCGCAGAAGTTCGAAAAAGTTGCTCGCAAAAGCCCGTTTGACAGAAATGTTTAAAAAGTGTTGGGTTTCCTACGAATCCGCAAGAGCGCGCGGGATGAGATTTTGACATTTTTTTGTTGAAAAACCATTGGTTTTTTGATGTTTTTATGTTAAAATCGCTCCGAACACTAAGCTTTTGGAAGGATTTCGTCTTGCGCGCGCGAATGTCCACTTTACCTTATTTTTTGCAAGGGATTCTTGAAATTTGATTATATTAGAACAAGAAATGTCATTTTATAGTGTTTTTTGCAAGGGAAAACGGATTACAACAAAACAACCGGATCTGGATCACATCGTTTTACCTGAGGCTTCCTCACGAAAGTGATGAAAATGTAGCTGCGGCCTAGGCGGCGCAGGGGGGGCGCGCACCAGGGGGCCCAACAATAATTATTCTTTAGAATAAATAGTGTTCAACAACGACAACAACAACAACAACAACAACTGCTCCCGCCTGAGACCTCCTCACAATCTAGCGAGGACCCCCGCTCCCGCCTGAGACTTCCTCGCATGTTATTCAGGAATCGCGCTCTCGCTTGGGACTTCCTTACAACAAATTATTCATGAATCGCTCCCTCGGCGCTTGGAGTCAAGCTCTCGCTGGAGACTTGCTTGCAATTTACTTAAGAATAGCGCCCTTGCGTTTGAATTTCCCGCAATTTACTCAAGCGCCGCGCCCCCGACACTCAGTCGCGCTCACGTTTCGGACTCCCTCAACAATTTTTTTGGAATCGGGATCTCGCTGCCCTTCGTGGCCCCGTAGCAGCCCTTCGTGGCCCCCTCGCTGTCCTTCGTGGACCCGTTGCAGCCCTTCGTGGCCCCCTCGCTGCCCTTCGTGGCTCCATTGCAGCCCTTCGTGTCTCCTCGATGCCCTTCGTGGCCCCGTTGCAGCCCTTCGTGGCCCCCTCGCTGCCCTTCGTGGCCCCGTTGCACCCCTTCGTGCCCCCCTCGCTGCCATTCGTGGCCCCGTTGCAGCCCTTCGTAGCCCCCTCGCTGCCCTTCGTGGCCCCGTTGCAGCCCTTTGTGGCCCCCTCGCTGCCCATCGTGGCCCCGTTGCACCCCTTCGTGCCCCCCTCGCTGCCATTCGTGGCCCCGTTGCAGCCCGTCGTGGTCCCCTCGCTGCCCTCCGTGGCCCCATGTATTTATGCCCTTCGTGGCCCCCGCTCGTTCGCGCCCGTCGTGGCCCCATGTGCATGCCCTTCGTGGCCCCGCTGTCGCCCTTCGTGGCCCCTTTGCTGCCCTTCGTGGCCCCGTTGCTGCCCTCAGTGGCCCCGTCCTTGCCTTCCGCGGCCCTATGTACGTATGCCCTTCGTGGCCCCCGCTCGTTCGCGCCCGTCGTGGCCCCATGTTCATGCCCTTCGTGGCCCCGCTGTCGCCCTTCGTGCCCCCTCGCTGTCTTACGTGGTTCAGTTGCTACCCTGAGTGGCCCCGTCGTTGCCTCCGGTGTCCCCGCATTATCTGCCCTTCGTGGCCCCCGCTCTTCCGCGCTCTTGGTGGCCCCATACGCATTCCCTTCGTGTCCCCGCTGCCGCCCTTCGTGGCCTACTTCGTGCTCTTCTTGGCCCTGCTGTCGTTCTCTCTCTCGCTTTCGGTTTCGCTCGTCGTCGTCGCCGTCGTCGTCGTCGTCGTCGTCGACGTCGTCGTCGTCGACGTCGTCGTCGTTAACGTCGTCGTCGTCGTCGTCGTCGTCGTCGTGGTCGGTCCCCTGTCCGTCCCTCTTGGGGATCAGGCTGCCGCCGATCAGCGCTGCCGCTGGCAAGGCCGACGGTACGCGGCCGCCCCGCCGCTTGCCAGGGCCCGGCCTGCAAGGAAGAAAGGTATACCCCCCAGAAGGGGTACGATCGAAGACGAAGAGGGCGGGTACCGAGGGTTTGGGGATTACGCGTTAACGGACACTCAGGCAGATAAGAGCGAACAGTCTTACAATGATTGTTGTTGTGGTTGTTGTTGTTGTTGTTGTCGTTGTCGTTGTCGTTGTCGTTGCCGTTGTCGTTGTCGTTGTCGTTGTTGTTGTTGTTGTTGTTGTTGTTGTTGTTGTTGTCATTGTTGTTGTTGCTGCTGTTGTTGTTGCTGCTGATGCTTCTGCTATTGTTGTTGTTGTTGCTGCTGCTGCTGCTGTTGTTGTTGTTGTTGTTGTTGTTGTTGTTGTTGTTGTTGTTGTTGTTGTTGTTGTTGTTGTGTGCGTGTTTGTGCGTGCGTGTGCGTGTGCGTGTGCGTGTGCGTGTGCGTGTGCGTGTGCGTGTGCGTGTGCGTGCGTGCGTGCGTGCGTGTGTGTGTGTGTGTGTGTGTGTGTGTGTGTGTGGGTGTGTCTCACGGCGCTTTGATGTTTGTCGCGACGTCGGGCGTCGGGGCCGTCCTCTTTGTTTCTCTCCCCCCCCCTCCCTCCCCGGGGAAAGTATCGACCGGGCGGGTGGAGGGCCAGGGCGCATGCCTCCAGTCCCTCCCCCACGCGGCGCACGTAGGCCCAGCGCCGTCTTGCGCCGTCGCAGCCCGGCCCTCCCTCCTGCCTGATCCCTCCCTTCTCTCTCTTCCCTGTCGTCCCTGGCTCCCTGGCTCCCTGCTCCCTCCCTCCCTCCTTCCCTCCCCTCCCTCCCTCCTCCTCCCTGCTCCCTGCTCCCTGCTCCCTGCGCCCTCCCTCCTCCCTGCTCCCTCCCCCTCGTTCCCCTTTCGGTGGCCCCGGGGGCCCGTGCCCCCCTGGCACCTCCCGCACCCTGCGCGTCGGCGGGCCCGCGATGGGCCCGGCGACGGCAGGCACCCTTCGACAGGAGCCGCCCCCCTCGGCCCCTGAGTCGTTGGGCTCTCCACTACTCCAGATTTCGTAATAAAAGGGAGGGGGTCTGGACCCTCCAAGACAAGCCATTTCAGACCTCCCCCGTGGGAGAACCATCGAAAACATCGTCCCCAGACCCCCCAGGCCCTCCAAGATAGCCTGGAAGAGACCCCCCCCGAAATGAGACTCGCCTCCCTTTATTACGAAATCTGGAGTACTTTTGATCAGTGACTGGAGCCTCACCTTTCGAGTCGACTTTCTGTAAGAGTGACCTCTCGCCAGAGTGATCTCTGGTGCGGGCCCAGTGGGCTCCACCGGTCGCCGATCGCGGAGCGGCAGCAGCGGCTTGCGCGCCGGGGTCTGGCCTCACCACGCGTCCCCCGTGGAGTCGCGCACCAGAGGTCGTTCTTGCCCAGGGTCGGTGCCTGCGACTCGTTGCTGGCACGCTCGATGCTGCGACCTGCGTCCCCCTCCCCTCCCCTCCCCTCCCCTCCCTCCCCTCCCTCCCCTCCCCTCCTCCCCTCCTCCTTCGCCTCCTCCCTCTCCTCCCTCCCCGCCCTCTCCTACTCCTTCGCCTCCCCGTCCTCTCCTGCCTGGGCGCGGTGCTCCCCCCGATGGGGCCCGCGGCAGAGCCTGGCCGCCGCGATCTTGAAGTCGCGTTCCTTCTTGCAGCCCTTCGCGCGCGCACCCGGGGCGGTGTCGCGCCCGACTTCGGCCATGCCCGCCGCCTCCGCCTGCCCACCGTCTTCTCCGCCTGCTCCGCCTGCTCCGCCTGCTCCGCCTGCTCCGCCTGCTCCGCCTCCTCCCCGTCCTACATATGCTCCTCCCCCCTTCTCCTGCTCTTCCTCCTGCCCCCGTCCTGCCTGCCTCCTCCTGCCCTCCTCCTCCTCAAGCAATTGGGCCCGAGAGGTTTGCAGGGGAGCAGATCGAACGGGCCCACTGTTGCGCGCGCACCGCGCGTCCGTGCCTGCCCTGCCGCAGGTGGCGAGGCGCGCTCGCGGCTTGAGGGGCGCACCTTCGAGGTGTGGCGGAAGTCGCAGCAGAACGACGGCTACGAGGCCAACATGGGAGGAACGCGCCCGCCCTGGAAGGATGGAGGTCGAGCGGCCAGCAGAGCTCGATCACAGTCACGTTCGAAGAAAGATTACCAGGGCGGGAAGAGGAGGCCGCTTGTGGTGTGTAGCATTTGCTCTCCTGTCGGCAGCAGTTGGATCTATTGTGATCGTATCGCCGACAAGGCCAAGTGCGCAAAGTGTGGAACGTCGTGGTCAGACATCTCGACAGGGACAGCCCCGCCAGATCCACAGACCCAGGCCTTCGTCGCCCTCCTCGCAGATCAGTACAAAGTCGCCAAGGACGGCAACAATAAGGAGCAGTTGGATTTGTTGGAGCAAGCGTGCCCTCAGCTACGAGTTCCTGATCCAGCACCGCCACCAGTGCCCAAGCCCTTTGAGGAGCTGGAAACGGCAGCCCAGGCGCTCCGTATGGTCACGACGGCGGGAGAGAAGTTACGCAAACGACTCCAACGCAACGCAGAAGAACAGAAAGACATCCTGGAAAAGCTGGCCGACAACAAAATCGCCGAGAAAGAAGCTCAGCAACAGGTGGACTTGTGTCGCGAGAAGGCGAACCGAGGACAAGCACCTGCAGCAGCGACCGTTCCCGACGATGCAGCTACCCCAGAGCTCAGCGGTGAAGAACTGGCAGTCCTTGGCGAAGCAGAAAAGAAAGAGTACGAGGCAGCTAAGGAAGCGGCCGCGGCAGCGCAGAGGACCTTGGAAGCGGCGAAGGGGGCCGCCCAGGCCCGAAAGGAGGCTGCCGAGAACCTCCGCAAGTTCGCAGACAAGGCTCAAGAGTGCAAGAGGCGCCGTGGCAATGGAGGAGAACCATCAGTTGGAGGTACCCAAGCCAAAGCTGAAGCCCAAGATGAGCCAGCCGCAGCAGAACATACCAAGCCGTGCGATTTCACGAACCCTGGCGAAGTGGACAGGTACCTGGAGACCACAGTGCGCATTCGTGAGAGGAGCAAGACGGTTGTGGCGGCCAAAACGGAGTCCAAGACGTGTTCGTAGTATTCGGCGCAAGGTCACGTTCCAGGACCCCATCAGTGATGAGCAGGACCCGTTTTTGCACGATGACCAACAGTACTCACATGTATTCGTGGCGAACATCTCACAGTACAACGCGTCAGCTCGTGATTTCATTTTGGGTTCGAAGTACGATGTGGTGGGCCTTGTGGAACACCACCTTCAGAAGACGAAGGCAGCCAACGAGGCCCAGCGGCGTCAACCAGATGGCTGGCATTCACAGTACACTTGGACAGCAGCCAAGAAGACGGGGCGATCAGCAGACGGTACTCATGGGGGAGTATGTTGGCTACGTCGCTCTCACCTCCAGACTGCAGTGCACCTGCCCGCCGTCAAGGGGAGCAGCGCCTTTGAGAAGGAGTTGAATGACATTGCGGTGGTGCACTGGGACTTGATGGGTGGAATTCGCATCGCACTCTTCGTGGTTTACCTCGACAGCGGACCAGGCCTGACAGGGCCCAATGCAGCAAAGGTGAAGCAGCTGACACAATTGACGGCAAGTATCTCTACACCGTGGATGGCAGTGGGTGATTGGAACGTTACCCCAGATGAGTTCATGCAGTCCACGTGGGCGAAGAAGCTCAAAGTGACCCCGGTTTGTCCGAACATCGATGCGACGTGTACGAGTGGCAGAGGCCGCATGTTAGACTACGTCATTTGCCCACAAATGTTCAGGCCTTTCTTGGGTGGCGTCGCGGCGGTAACAGAGGTACCGTGGAGATCTCATGTTGGATTGCACATCCGTATCGCCAGGAAGCCAGCCAAGTTGCAGATCTTGTCACCTGTAAGGGCTGAGCAGCACAAAGTACCATACATTACGGTGCACGTCGAGAAAGGCATCAAGAGGAAGCAGCGTGACCGAGAACAGCATGCAAAGCTTACGGAGCACCTGCCAGAGCTGGACGACATCATCTACGACACAGACCTGTCGGAAGAACAACAAGCTCTCCAACAAGAACGAGCAGACATCGACAAGCTCCTTGAACCGACGTACTCCAGAGAGGTATCGGCTACGGTCTCGGATGATGCATGGCAAGATATTCGAAGGCAGGCAGACCACTGCGATGTATTCAGCCCAGACAAGACCACGGTGGACAGTTTGGCTTTTCAGTTAACAGAAACGAGCAGCGTGCAGTTGGGCGAGCAGTGCACTCGATGGGCACAGGCTGCAGATCACACCCTGGCCATCTTGTGCGACAAAGAAGACCAAGTTAAAACGGTTCGAGGACGGCCAGTGAAGTACCGTTTGGCCCCAGCAGCTCCTCGGCGTGAGCAGCGCACTCAGGGGCCAGAACAAGCTCGACATGATCGTTGGGTGGAAATGGGATCTCTCTTACGGCAATTGGCAGTTTCAAAGAACCTTACTCGACGGCAGCAACTTCGAGGAATGGTACGATCTCAATTGACGCACGTAGAATCATTGGAGTACCCGCCACTACCACCGTCCAGCCTCAACTGTGTACGCCAAGATGAGAAAGAAGATTCTTGGGCCTTGGATATAATTCGCAAGACAGAGCTGGACACAGGTCATCCTTTGTGGAGTGAAGCAGTACTTCAAGAGGCGCAGCGGGCTGAACGACATGGCAAGCGAGCCTGGCAGAAAGCGAAGCAGAGTATCAACCGCTGGGCAGAGAAGGCCATGGACGGCAACATGAAGGATGCTCATGGATATCTTAAGCGACCTGAATCTCTTTCGCTTCCTGAGCTGTGCATCGACCCCGACAGCAGTGGAGTTATCGCCAACGTGCAAAGTGCGGTGGAGACGCGAGCCAGACAATGGACAGCAAGATGGACCAATCACGACGAGCACCACGCGACCAAGGCACAGCTGCAGAAGCTGCGCGCACTGGCTGAAGCAGACCTTCCTGATCGTGAAGCCATCACCTTGGACCAACTGGAAGCAGCTCTCAGGGCTACGCCCAATTCCTCAGGCCAAGGTTCTGACATGTGGAAAGTGCAGCATCTGAAGGCGTTGGCACCCCAGGCCAAGGGGGAGTTGGCCTTTTTGCTCACCAGATGCGAGCAAAGCCTTTCATGGCCGCACCAATGGTTGCACATTTGGTATGAACTTCTGCGCAAAGGATCCAACTTGAAAGCTGGAGACGAGAGGCCGATCGGCTCGATACCTTTACCAATGCGCCTTTGGGGGCGAATCCGACAACCAACTATGGCAGAGTGGAGCAGCAAGAAGGCAGCCTTTTGGGATGCAGCAGTGGCCCAGTCGTCAGCCCTCCAGGCAGCTCTCTTCAGCATGGCCATGGACGAAAGCAGTGCTTGGGATGGAACGCAAGCGTGGGGCTCGATCTATTTGGACATCAAGAAGTTCTACGATTCGATCAGCATCCCGATCTTGATTGATCGCGCACTTGAAGCTTGAGTTTCCCCCTGTGGAGCTTTACCTCAATTGTCTGGTATACCTCGCTCCGCGATCGATCAGAGCGGCAGGAGCCTTCGCTCCGCCGATAATCCCTGGGAGCAGCATCGTCCCAGGGTGCAACACTGCAAATAATGGTGCAAGGGCGTTCTTATACGAAGTGTTGGAACGAGCTCACAATCAGGTACCCCGAGCACTTCCCAGACAGTACGTGGACGGCGTCACGGCGAGGTCCGACGGCTCGTACAAGCAAGTCAAGCATGAGTTGACCACTGTGGCGGTCGAATTGGTCAAAGGATGCATTGCGAGCAAGTTGGAGGTGTCTGACAAGTCGGCAATTATGGCACCCCACCCAAGTATTGAGAAAGCAGTCTCGCGAGCAGTACGGCAACTTGGGGCAGCGGTCAAAGGAGCCTCGTACGTACGTGACCTCGGCATCGACATGGCGAGAGGACGCACGATGCGCACCACGACGGCTACAGAGAGACGCACAGCGGCCAGAGCACGAGTACGCCGAGCGCGGGGTTTCAAAGGGGCAGGCAAGCGCAGACGGAAGCTGGCCACGCTCAACTTAGTCAATGTCCGTGCCAAGTCATCGCACGACGTCCCTGCAGTAGGCCAGTCTCCAACAGCGGTGCGACGTGCAAGAGCTGAAGCAGCAGACATGCTCGGCTACACGACAGGCGGCAGGAGTACATCCATGGTGATGTTGTTGCACTACTTCGAGAGGGACCCCAAAGCTGTTGGGCTTCGCCGCCAAGTCTCAGAATGGATTAAGCTTTGGAAGCGGTGGCCAGACTATCATGATAAACTACGAGGAGGTTGGCATGCAGCAGTACAGCGACTCCAGCGGGCATGACCAAGAGGACGTTGAAACGTGGTGACAGGGCCGATGACAGCTCTCGCCCAAGGACTATCAGAACTAGGATGGCAGCTAACTGAGCCAGATACGTGGACGGATTCGCAAACAAGTGTATGGACGATGGCCCAGCAACCACACCAGCACATGATGGACGCAAGCCGTGAGGTGCCACCTTCAGTTGGTAGTCAGGACGTTCAAGGTAGCAGAGTCCACCGACCTCCAGATCGCCAACCACAGCCGGCTGTCACTTTGGCGTTGTTTGAATCATCCTGTAGTGCGGCTTCGTCATGGCGCGGTGGACTTGGACGCCAACCACAGCCGGCTGTGACCAACATGGATGGCGACCACGACCCCTTCGAAGACATGGAGGACATCACAGTTTGCCAGCAGCTTCTGGATGGAATGGGTTATTTCACATATAATCACAGAGGAGGAGGACAATTTCCAGCTCCAATGAAAGACAATGACCGTCGGAATGTGCCGCCACATCAGCAGTCAGACGACATACTTGGAGATGAAGACACCACCCAACTCATGGCGACCATCACGGCGGACGTCATCAAGGAGCTGTGGCAGCAGGCGGCCAGAGATCGCCATGGAGGAGACTGGAGTTCTACGCCAAACCTCACGGCAGCCAGCAGAACCCTACAGAGAATGAGACGTACGGAGTCACATCGTGAAGCTGGTGCGCTAGAAGCAGTTATTTGCAATACCATTTGGACTGAAGATCGTTGCCGTGCTGAAGGCTACGAGTGTGATGGTGTCTGTACCAGGTGCGCGACAGGCCAGAAAGAGACGATGGCCCACCGCGTCTGGAGCTGCCCTCACACCTGCGGTCAGGATCACCCTTGGATCCGTCAGAGCGCCAAGTTATGTGATGAAGCAGTCCGAGACATTACTAACGGGACCAACCTGGAGCTGTGGCTAAGAGGGCTACTACCATCCACGTGGAACCCCGTACCGCCTCCGCCTTCGTGGGGCACGCCTTGCCTGCCGTACTACATCGACTGGGACGGGCCGTCCGTCTCGTTCGAGGGCACGGTGAACTTCGAGGACCGCATCGAGTGCAAGCTGGCCTTCCTGGACGGCTCGGCTTCGAGCAGCGACGCGCGCCTCGCGCGCGCGGGCTGGGGCGTCTACTTTGCCCAGTCCGCTGCCTGTGTGGAAAATGACGACCCCGACACCCCTCGGCCAGGAGCTTGTGGGGGCTTAGACGGAGCCCAGACGGTCCCGTGTGCGGAGTTGGCGGCCCTTTGGTGGGCTTTGAAAATGACCAAAGGGCCGATTTGGCTCTACACGGACAGCCAGATCGTGTATGATGGATGGCACGGTTCTTCGGACACCTCGGGAGAACTCAGAGGCTGGTGGAAGAGGGTCTTCTCTGAAGCTCAAGGTCGAAGAGTGATGCTCAGTAAGTGTAATTCGCACCTAGATAGAGTTTCGCTAGCCTCCCTGGTCCAGACCCCCTGTGTCTCCCGAGGCAATGACCTTGCCGACAAATTCGCCCAACTAGGAGTTGAACAGGTTTCAGCTGAAATTGACCCAGAGGTCAGAGATCTAGCCCATGCTGAATTCAAAGCGTGGTTGGTCCAGAGGAGGCTGGCTATAGTACATGCGGCGTCTGCTTGTGCCGACTACGAGCGTAAGAGCCGCCCGCGTAAGGATCGCCGTGTGCCCGCTGCCTGGCGCGTAAGGAAGGCTCTTGAAGCGTCTTCGGGGGCACCTGGTTTCCAAGGTCGGCTCCTCCTGGGTGTGTAGCCACTGCCAGAGTGGCCCAGGGAAGTTTTCTCTTTTGGACTGGCTTCGCAGTGGCAAATGTCCAGGACCCCAGTACCATAGAGTAGAGTCTCGAGGTAGGCCTGTGCGCCTTCCCCCTCGGTTCAGTATCGGGGGCAAGGCGGTGCATGAGTCGCACAATGCAGCAATATTGTACGGCCAGATCTTTTGTTGGAGGTGCGGGTGCCTTGGCTCTAAGACCCCCGCGGGCGGAAGGCTGGGGGCGGGCATTGCCGGCATTTGTAATGGGCACCCCACCCCTGCAGGCCGAGAGGCATTGAATAACATTCGGCGTTGGGAGGTCCCCTCAACGAAGGGTAAGGCCGTGTGGCCCGATGGCGCCCCCAATGCCCCCAGGCACCCACGGCGCGAAGTGCGCCGCAAGGGTTGAGATAACCCCAGCTGCGCCAGCGGCATATCGGCGGGATTTGCTGTCTGGTTTGTAATCGTCATCTAATCGTCCTCCTGCCCTCCTCCTCCTCCTCCTCCTCCTCCTCCTCCTCCTCCTCCCCCTCCTCCTACATCGAGGCTCGGCAGCGCTCTCTGGCACAGCGTGCAGCCCAGCTGCCGCGAGGCTCCCCAGGAGCCGTCGATCCCAAGAGGCTCAGGAAGATCACCCGATCTTCCCCGCGCAGGGCCCTACTTTGGGCTTCTTGGAAGCGCCGCCTGGTCCTCCAGGGGATCAAAACCACCGATCCCGAGGGCCACCCAGGGGTAGCCTGAAAGAGCTGTGCGATGGTGGATGCTCTTCGCGCTCACTGGAGACCCACCTTCGAGCGCAAGCACGTCATCGCCGTCAAGGTCCAGCAGTACATCGTCGAGCACATGCCCAGCCACCCCGCCATCGACGTCGGCGCGCCCACCAAGTCGCACATCAGGGGCTTCCTGCTTCGCAAGGCCCCGCCCGCGCCTGGGCCCGACCTCTTGCCGTGCCGCGCCTGGCTCGCCGTGGGCGCGTTCCTGGACCTGCTGGGGGACCTTGCCTGGCATCTCCGCTCCAACCCTGACTTCACCCACGACCTGAACGACTCTGACTACGTGTTCCTGCCGAAGGGCGACAACCTCACAGGCGTACTCACCACGGACCGCCTACCTGAGGACGCACGCCAGCTGTCTCTCAAGTACACAGATACCAAGGCCATCGCAAGCGCGGCCAACTTCCTCATCAAATCCGCTGTGGCAGAGCGGACTCATTACC